AGCACTGAAAAATACATAATAAAAAAAATCAGTTAGACAATTTAAATAATTTACAACCGTTGACGACTCTGTAAACTGTGTTGCTCAGTGGTTAGTCCATTAAAACAGGAAACACATAAAATAGCTCAAGCACGGTATGAACGAATATGAACGATCTGGTGTAATGTAGTGGAGTTAAGGGCTAAAAGTATAGTAGACCACATTTCTTTAATATGCAAAATATGCTGTACTTTACTTTGTTATACTTTCATTCAAGAGCTTCTCCAGTGCAGCAATCCTTCCAAGTTTTTTTATTCTTTCAGTGGAAGTTCATTACTTATGCGTTACGAAATAGGTAAATTGAAGCTTATGCATATTAAACAAGTACACATACCTACATATATATATACGTATTTAAGACAACCAGCTTAATTATTTCCTTAAAGTTAATTTATTTTTAAAATGTGTATCATTTTTATCATTAGCCTATTAGAAACAAAAACGCTAGTCACTGCAATACTAGCTAAAGATGTTTTTAGAGATTATTGTTAAAACTTAATCAAACACAATTTTTTATTTCCCTACTTAAAGTTTCTTTTAAAAGTAATCGATCACTCTATTATCAATCTAGTACAGTACGATTGGAGTACTGAACTGGAAGAGAGTAGCAGAAGATAGGGCTAGATGGAGGCAGATCGTGAGGGAGGCCAAGTTTCATACTGAACTGTAGTGCCAAATAAGAAGAGAAGTAAAATATTTTTATATTAGAACATTTATGAGTATTGTACTTAAATCTGTATTGTAGTCACTAGATTAATTAAATTATATTCAATATCCCCCTTAAACATCCGAACAGTACATTTTCATCTGAATTTAATTATTATTCTAATTAAAATTGGTTAGATGTAAAATAGAAATTGAATTTTGACAATAATTTCTTTATATACAAAGTATAATACTAATTTCAGACACTCTACGCTTTATATCCGTGACCATGAGTGATCGTAACCATCACTCTTATAAACATAATATTATAATAATATTGTTGTTATAACAACAACATTTCAGTAAATGATTTTATCATGCATAACTCATACAAATTTAGCCAAATACACAGAAATAAAGTAATTGAGAATTATAAGGTCTTCATTAAAGTAATTTAGTAATATAATTTAATATTAGGAAATATATAATTCTCATATAGTTGTTGGGTACTTCTTAGGTGCCGCAATTGGTTCGATAAAACAGATTAATTGAATATGGAATAATTTTGTAAAAACTGAATTTTATTATGTCATTCCCTCTTTAGCTAATCGAGTGTTGTCTCTTATACTAGAGTACCAAAACTATAATTTTTTATAGTTAGCCTTGGTTAGGGCTTGAAATCCAGATTTTGTCAATTTATATTGTTAAACTTGGCGAAAGGACTTGCAATGTAATTGTGAAAAATTAATTTAATTATTTTTTTTTGTTTTTTATTGAAATTTGTTGTAAGGTTGAAAATACTAACAATAAGCCATATTAGAAAGCTCCTTTCTATATTGAGCGTAAGACTTTTCGAATACCTCTCGTGTGAACGTCTATCTAAAAGTAATACAATATTTATGATAACATTGTATATGGTATAAATTTCGAGGGTGGAAAGACTTTATATATAACAATACAGCACTTATTTAATCAATTCCAACATTTTTTATATATTAAATTAAAAAACATATATAAAATAAAAAACATTTGTGCAATTAAAAATGTTTGCCTTATTTATACATATTTTACCACCAAGTAATTTCAGTTAAAAGATACCACAATTTAAATTAATAGATATATATCTATTTTAATATATATCTAATCACATCGAATTAAAAACAATTTACAATCCAAAAATATTTATACAAAAAAATTCACTTCCCTTACAAAATAGTTATTCCAATTTAGCATTCTTTAATAATTTCTAATAAGACAAATACTTCAATGGATTTGGGTTTTATATATAAAGTACTTTTACTTTTATTTTAAATTTCAACATAATTTTTACATATTTTTCCTTCAATAAATTTCCAGATTCGATTTTTAGTTAGAGCTCCTGTTGTCATCCATTCTTGAACTATCTCAGGTTTTGGAATTTAAACTGATGGAACTGCAAGTATATTGAACCAAATTCATTTTCTCATAAATCGGCCACAATTATTTTACTTATGATATCCTGAAATTTGTGTTCATTAAAGTATCTAAGTATCCATTAAATTAATCGTAGAAAAAATCATTCTATTTCACCCATTCCAAATTCCATTACTAAACGCCGAAATTCTTTTAGTTCCAGAATTCACTATTACATAGACTAATAGAAAAAATCAGTTTCAAACATATTAAGGTTTGGATGTGAGAACTAGGTAAATTGGAAAGAGAATCAAATTCTCCTTAATTAATTAAGAAAGCCGGTTTGATTCAAATTTCTTCAAAATTGTAGATAGAAAGATAGGGATATTAAAACCAGCCGAACGATTTAATAAATGCAAATATATTACCAATACCAATACTCGAAATATCACTGATGGAATGTAAAACTGTAACGTTTAAAGCATTAGCTCAATTTCTGTTGGCCTGTTCCAAAAAAAAGATCGGATGTTTACTGTGACTCTGAGTTATCTTAGAACTACAGCCTAGTACATCAAGAAATTATATTATATAATTATATTGAATTATATTTTTTCAGATAGCTTTAGAGTTTTATTGGTATGGAGCGAAACTGTGTTTGCAGCGGCTCTTCTGTCAGTTTTCTTAACATTTAGAGACCGAAATAAAGGAAGGTGGAAGGTTCCGGCTATATGATGAGTGCATCAAAACTTTTTAACCAAATTCCATCAATTTGTTCTGAGTCATGAAGGATGTGTGTGGTCTGTAATTGACATCATGGAACACAACTACTTTTCTGTTGATTCATTCTGGTGACTTTTCTTTAATTGTTTCTTTCCAGCAGTCGGGTTGTGAGCCATAAACGACCGTATTAACCGTTCCACCAGACTGGAGCAACGGTCTATTGTCGAAATAAAAGAATTCTCTTCCAATCCCACTCACCCAAACACTCAAACACGTGTTTGCTTCAATTATATATTTAAAGAAATAAAGACAAAGAAAAAACTCTCCATTTTTATATATAATTTTGATTGAATTTCTCGAATTTCGTTTTCTATTTTTTTTTTTTTTTAATTGCAATAATTTTTTTAATTTAGAAATTGTTATAATTCTTCCTTTAATTATAATTTAAAGTTTTTTAAACTTATTAAGTCCAACTATAATAATATTTATTGTCATTTTACTAATTGCAAAATCCCATGAATGAAATCAAGGATTATGGAATAGATCCAATTAACTTAAATTAAACTAGGATTGTAGTTAAACTCAACATTTGATTTGCACTCAAGTAATATTACTAATGTATTCTAAATTACTTAATACTAAAATACGTAGTAAACCATTATATATAGTTTCGACCTAAAAACAGACAACTTTAGCCTTTATTCCTTGATATAATGTCTTTACTTACAATAATTTAAATTAATATAAAATAAACCGTAATAACACTATTTACATTTCAAAAACTTACTTTATTCTTTAATTTAAATAAAATTCCAATTAAAGAAATATAATGAACAAAAATAGATTACTAATTTTTATTTTCAAAAAAAAATTCTATATACATTTTACATTTTTTTTTATTTAATTAATAAATTACCCAAAACATTACAATTTCATTGTAAACCCAAATTTAAAAATCTATAAATTACTAAAATTAATTAAATAATATAATAAGAATAAAAACAATATAATTTATTATTTATATTTAAAAACAATTAATATTTTATTAAAATATTTTTCCAATATTTCGATTATCTTCGATAGTCATCTTCAGGGAAACTAACAAAACATCAATTTAATTAATTAATTTAAATTAATACTTAAAGATGAACTGATCACCTTCACAACTTCAACGTAATACTCTACTATAAATAATATATTCCAAAAAATTCACATCATCCTTGATCTAATGTTTTATATATTATTTTATCTAAAGATAAGAAGTAATACATAAGTTGCGATATTAGGTAAATATTCTATAGAATCTCAAAAAAATAGATACAGTACAAAATAAAAATTTATCAACAAAAACATAAAGAAATTTTTGTAACAAAATATTCTATAATCCCCCGATTATACATATTAATATTATTATTATTTTTAACAAATAGATCAACAAATTATTTATTTTTAGTTATTAATTAATAATATTTGTTATATATATTATTAATTAATATTATTAATTAATTATTATTACTGTACTTATTAAGTCTAATTTAAAAAAATAAAATTTCAACCAAATGAGCAATAAACCAATGGAATACCAAGCTCATTAAGCCCATTAAAAGGAATATATAATAATGTATATTGAAGAAACAAAAATTATTTCATACCGCACAATGCAACATCTTAAATTAACGACATTAAAACATCTTAAAGTAAAAGATACATATGTATATATATATATAAATTGTCCCATCGAACGAATACCCTCCCTGAAGACTTCATTCAAGCCTTGCGCTACAAACCCCCAATACTTGTCCAACTATTTCGATGAGTACGATCGTAATCTCCACACCATTCCCATTTATAACAGCGGCTTTAGTCACAAAATTTATCGCTGTCTCACTCGCGCGTTGCGGTTTAACCCCACCCCCTTCACCCTATCTCCCTAATTTATGTCCCTGCCTTCTGGCTTAGATTAACCTAGCTCACTAGGTACGCCTATATGTTCACGTCTCTCTCCCCTGATTACTGGAATGAAGTTTCCTCAATGCTGTGGAAATCTTCTGCATTCATTCCTAAGAGGTGGTTTTAGTTTGTTTAAGTCTCACACTGTGGCTTTCGATGCTTTCCACTTACTCCAAAAACAAAAAAAAAACAAATATCTTATAAATTATTTATATTATAAGTGATAGATTTTAATAAAAATAAGTCAGGCGAGGTTTCAGGCATCGTGACTTCTGGTCGTGTAATTCCTTTCATCAATAATCAAACAATAATCCACACAGCAAATCTGAAATTGAAAATTGATATCTGAAGCACCTCGAAATAAATCAAAGGACTATATTTATGTATATATATAATCATTATTAATCCAACGTTATTAATGTAAAATAAAACTTAATTACATTTGTTTTTTTCTAATCGTTAAAACTAGATTTATAAATAGAATGATTTATTGTAATCTTACTGATTGCGATCAAAGTAACAGCGCAAGTGAGAAAGAGAAAGAATACCTATATATTATAAAAGCGTACAGTAAATCTTAATAACAGTTTTAATTTCCCGCAAGACATATTAAAAAAGGAAGGAAAAGATTATAATAGACAGAAAAAAAGGTAAGTAGAAATTAAAAATAACCTATAGAAAGTCTTAGGGAAGGGAGTAAACATACAAGATAAAGCAACTGACCCTGGCTGGCGGAGGCTACCCGACGCGGCCAAGGATGACTCACGTCTGTAATAGCCAACTTAGTAAATAAGTAAGAAAATCTTCCATAAAATATTTTTTATATTAAAATGTAATTTTTGAATAATAATATTTCGTAATTACCTTAAGATATTTCTGATTTTTATTATTATAATTCATTAAGATTATTTTTATTGCAGACAGGCTAGGTCTCCATAAACGGTTCATAGTTTTTAGTCTCATCATTATAGCGCCACAAAGTTCTGCGTGAAAGGTGTTGATAGCGATTTATTCCAAGTTCTTCATCATTTTTAATAGCTTGCTCTGGGTTAGCCGGAATTAGAAATGGTTTAACTTTCATGTCTTCATTCAACTGGAAAGCATGTCCATCTGCGCTGTAACCATAATTAACATTTGACTGATCAATGTACTCATCGATCACATTCTTCAAGCTCTCTAAATTGATATTCCCTTTGTCCTCTTCCATATTTTGAAAAATATTTCTTGATATATTTTTAATGTTGTTGCGAGTCATAACATCTTTCTGGTTAGATGCACTCATTGCAGCATAACTCATATCAGGTTTAAATGACATGACGATGAAAAGTTGTGACCCTGAAAATTATTTTTTTTTGCTATTAAAATAATTTTTAAAAATACTTTTCATCGACTGATATTTTTCATAAAATATATATTAAATAAATTACTGTATATAAAAAAAATATGTAATTAGTAGTTCATCCGAATTTATATACATCTCTAGTCGTTTGGAAACTTCAACCACTAATATACTTCATATGCAATTGAATAACAGTCGATTAAAAATCAGGTGGACTTCTCCAGTATAAGTAATTTTACTTGCTTATATTTTTAAAATATGTCATAAGAAATAACTCATGAAAGTGCTATCCGCCTTGGGGAATCATAATACCTTGAACATTTCTAAAGTACTATACAATGTAACTATTAATAAAAATTTAATTCATGACTAAACTCTGAAGGTAAGTTAGCAATTATAACAGTGAAAAATGATAGAGCAGTGAAGGCAGCGAAGAATTCTATATTGGTCCCGAAGGTTATGTCTATGTCTATTTTTAGAATTACAATAACTACTTTAACTTACCTTTAAAATAAATTGAAAACATTTTAGTTTTTCTTGAGTGAAAGGCAGTATAAAATTAGAGCACTCAAATCAGTTAACTATTCTGCTCCAGACCAAAATTAATTCTAAATACCCAGAACTTTTTATTCTTACTCTAATAATCTTCTTAGCTTACTTAAAGCTTTTTCTTCTGCCAGAAGCAAAAGAAATTTCAAGTACTCAGAATTAGCCCCTCTAACTTCAAATTCTTAGTTTACTTAATATAGGTATCTAGAAAAAATGGGTAAGACCAAAAAACATAATAAAGAATAACCAAAGAATCTCAAACCAGTTATTGCAAATTGTGAACAAAAAAAGAAGAAGTTATTATAAGATAAATTAAATATCATAAAGAAAATTATTGCAAAATATTCCAATTTCTAAAGAAAACAAATTCTGTTCTACCAAGACAATGTAACTTCTCACACTTTACTAACGACCACCATTAAAATTTACTCATTACATTTTGAACTTATAATTCCCGCGCATTCAATAGATCTGACGCTCCGTGGCTCTATAATTAACCAACTGTTAACGTCACGTATTAAGTAAAAATAGGCCATATATATAGGCCATTGATTTAATCAATTTATCTGACTGACAGAATAAACTAACCTTACTTTATGTCATCATAATGACATATCAAAATACTTTACGAATCATAAAAGACAGCTCAGAGACTCTTTGTTTATATTTCCATATAGGCTTATATGTATGATAACTTTAGAGCAAGTATTTATAGTTAATGGAATTTATTAAAAATTACGGCACTGATATACTATTAATATATCATGATATTTAAACGAATAGAGTTATTGCATCTAAAGTGGTAGTATGTTTATGTTATCGAGCATCGTACGAAGACCTTAAACTGTCTTTTCTTAATCCTAATACGAACTTAATAATAAAGATTATTTACTCCGTAGAAGAGTTGATGATGATGAGTCTTATAACTAACTGTTATAATAACTGCTATTTGCTATAACAAATGGGTTTCGACTTCTTTGTCATAAATGGATTAGAAAATTACTGCCATAATCGTCTGTTATACACCAATTATAACTTAAGTAAATATAGAGAAATTTATATAGCGGATATCAGCAATAACTAGTACTATATTCATGTTCCATACATATGGACACCCGGTAAACATAATATAATTTATTTATTATATTATAATTTCATATATATCAAAAATACAGCAAGAAACGAAAAGTACATCACCACATTTAACAACCAAAGCAGTAATTAATTTAATAATTCATTCTGTATTTCATTAAAAACAGTACTTCTCTTGATTTTAATAATCCTATTCTTACTTACTTTTTATATAGATCTTTTCTTTTTTTTTTTGGTTAGTTAAATAGTGAAAGAACTCCGCTCTCAACTTGAACTCAAAGTTTACTGCTAACAAATTTATTTAAATGCAAAAAAAAAAACATAAACGTCAATTTCAAATGTCAATTTAACCTCTAAATTTATTTCTTATATATGGTACATTGCAATGATTTTACACAATGCTTTGCAAGTTTACTTAAAAAGGCACATGATTTTGTGTTTCCCTGAGGATTGGGTTTCAGAAGTATAGAAAAACTTAATATCTAGACTAAATATCAGTATACGACTAATCGCTAAAAAAGACAACGACTCCCCTATTGGATAAAGAAAACCCAACCTGACCATTCTATAAACTTGGTTAACTCTCTTTACTCTGGCAAACTCTCCCACCCTGCAATTGCCCGATATATTCCTATATCCAGAAACACATATGAGTTGGAACATGACAATGTTGGACCATGACAATGCTAAATCATTGATGGAATAATCGGCTTTATGATCGGTTTTGTACCAACTAGTGATTTAATGACAGCTTGACTGCTCGAGAAGATTAGGATTATAAATCACGAATTTATTTGATCAGGAAACTAATTACCAAGGGACCAATTTTACTGCGGAATGGATTGCCATTACTTTTGCCTCAAAGTCACTGCAGTGGTTTGGCAGTTAAAGCGAGAAACTAAGACCCAGTTTTTTAAAGAATATACTACAGCCAACTACTTCATTTATTTTAGGTCTGTATCTGTGTAAATGTCTACCATGTTGAAAGAGCCGTATACTATTGTAGCACAATATTATATCAGACTTTCAGGTAATTGGATGCGACTATATAACTACTGATCCAGACTGAATTTCAACTTCTGTCCATATGCTTATTGTGTTCATACCGATTCTCGAACGTTGGTATCATAAAGTGACTTTCGTTTTCCTTCATAGCGATCTTTCGTACTAAGGTAGCACTTTTTAAATTCTTAATGATTTCTTGAGTGAAAGGCAGGATAAAACATTTAAATCAGTTTACCATTGTACCCGTACCCAAAAGAGAGTTTAAGTATCTGTAATCGGTTACACTAACTCCAATTTCTTAGTGCATTTGAAAAGACCGGGCAGATAGAGCGACAACATAAAGCATGTTCACAGCCCTACAATTTCAAATCAGTTCTTGCCAATGCTGGACAATGACAAACAAAGTGCCTTGACATAGAGCACACTATACTTGCATTATTAGATAAATTAAATATTACAAAGAAAATGGTTTCAAAATATTTCAATTTCTAAAGAAAACAAGTTCCGTTCTACCAAGACAATGGAACGTCTCTCACTATAGCAATCACCACTATTAAAAGAGATCGTGTAGATGTCGAATAAATCTTTGAATCCGAGATCGCGACTAAATGTAAATGTAGTGATTTATTATTTTTTATTGTTATTATACTTATTACTCAAGATCTGTGACCCGTTTGCGAATTATAAAAGATCAATTACTCCAAATCCACGGACAATGTTTCCCCCTCAGAACTCATACCTTTGAAGAATGGTAATCGAGTTTTTCAGAGAGCTGAGGAGAAACAGAATAAATGTTCAAGAGTCCAATTACTCACATTTGCTGCATTAGTATCTGCTGGTAATATTTATATATGCGCATATATTGCAACTATACAACATTCGCTATATTTCCCGTCTGTCTATATTCTAGTCGAAGTAGTAGAATTTTAGACGACAATAATTGTAAACTTCCATGTTAGTATTTAACTTTCACTATGTACACCGGTGAGACTAAATTACTTTCAAGAATTCTTATTGAATCTAAAATAACCTTCTGCCTTGTCACTATTTTCCACACTTCCAAGAGCGTAATTTTTTGTCTTTTGGTTCTTCTGATAACATCCATTACACAATTTGTCCGTTCTTTTTTTTTGGTTTGCGCTAAAAACACCACATTTCAATATCTATTATAATGGCTGGTATTCTTGACTGTAGCTGGCTTTATTTGGGACATTTTGAACTGAACTTTCTAGAGCACGACATGTGCGTAAATCTTCTGTTTAGCCAAATCTTTGACTTCTTTGACTGAAGTCTTTCGAAGTCACACAGACACACAGTGGTTGCTTAGAATAAATTTATTGGTTTTCTAAGAAAGTATAAGAAAATAATAAATATAAAACTAAAATGAAACGTAAAGCAAAATAAAACGTAAAGCAAAATAAAACTAAAGTGAAATAAAAAATAAATTAAAATAAAAATATTTCGTTTTAATAAATTATTAATATTTTATATTTATATATTTATATCAAGAGTTATTTTACACAAACGAATTTACACAAGTCGTCCATTACATTATGTTTCTATATATATATATATGTATACCTTCGACGTTTATAAAAATATTGCCATCACGTCAAAAAGGAATGGAATAGTTTTGTTTGAAATTTGTTATAAAGAAAATAAAATATATCAATGATTAAGTTTCACACTTGATTAGAATACGTTAATAATTATTGTATAAATGAATAAAAAATTTAATCGAAACTAATAAGTTCAGCTGTTGCTGGTTCCTCTGGAACGGCAGCAGACACAGGCTCAAGTTCGGTTTGTGGTGGTGCTGGTGCAGCAGCAATTGCCTGTACCTGCGCATTTGCTGTATTAGTTTGTGGCGCAATGCCACCACCAACCGGTGCTGGTGGCATTTGATTCGGCGGTGTCGCTATCGGCGGTTGAGTTTGTATCACATTTTGATGTTGCAACATGACATGCGCAAGTTGAGGATTTTGATGAGACGGTTGTACGTTCTGTTGTTGATTATTGGCAACATGTTGCTGCTGTTGATTATTGGCAACATGTTGCTGTTGTTGATTATTGGCAACATGTTGCTGCTGTTGTTGTTGTTGTTGAGTTTGGAGTAAGCCTTGTGGGAACGAATTTGCTGTAGTAAACAAAAAAGAAATAAATTAATTCATATCAAAAATATATTTTAACTATAAAAACATGTTATATACCTTGACCCTGAAAAGCATGTTCGCCCATAATACCCATACCCACAGCTCCACTTGGCATCATATTACCATTTGTGGGCAACATACCACCTGGCATACTCGGCATTGAGGGTAACATCATACCAGCATGTTGATTTGAATTTGGTAACATATTTCCGGTATACATGCCAGGCAATGGTGTTGGCCTTGTTGCACCTGGTAATGTAACACCTGAAGTTGCTGTAGTCATTCCACCGCTAGCTGCCATAGATGTGGGCATTTGTTGTGATAAATTGAATTGTCCACTTGCCATTGGTCCAGGTGAATTCGGATTGAACCCATAAGTATTGTAGGCATTATTTAATTGATGAGATGGTGAGCTATGTACACCACTATTATTGACACCACCTGAGGCTATAAATGGAAATGCTGTTTGACCCATTAGATATTGAGCTTTTTGTTGTTCCTGCCTCATTTGCATTTCCCTTTCCTGTTCTTGGATCCTTTGTAAAGCTAATTGCTGTGAGTATTGTAGATATTCCTGTTTCTTTTTACGCATTATTTCTAATTTCTGTGCCATTTGTATTTGCCGCTGCAATTCTTGTTCTTCGGCAATGCGACGCATCTTCTCAGCATGTTCCTGACGCAGCACATCGAGAGCAGCACGTGAATCTTTTATTTGCCCCAATTTATCCTGCAATTGTTCATACCACATACGCTTATCATCCATTTCTTTGATATAAGATAGTTGTTGCGAATGTAGTGATGTCAGGGTTATGAAGAGTGATTGCACAAAGGAATCGTTTGTAATACTGCGACCACGACTTGAATTTGATTTCATGCGATTTACAAAGTTCTGAACCTGATTTCGCATATTTGCGACAAACTCATCCAACTGTGCTTCATCTGCATTCTAAAAATAAATAAAAATAAATATTTATTAAGTGTGCAAGTTAACATAATTATTTATTTACGATTAGTTTAAACATAAACTTAGTTTATGTAGATCACACCCTAAAGATGTTCCCTAGCTATGAGTTATATATAGATTACGGTTTATTATTACTAATTGTTTTATATTAATAATACATTACTTTATCTTGTATCATTTAATTTAATAAAATCTGTAATAAATTGTGACTAGTCTCAATGGAATTAGTGGAGAGAAATCAACTAATCATTTAAAAACACCTTTTTTGTGTATTTTCAGACTAGCCTGATAATCTGTACCAAAACTAGATATTTAGCATGTGCATTATTTATTCTTATAGGAAAGGAATAGTACACTGCGACCTAAAAGATCTATTGTACCCCTTAGTCGGATTAGAGTGTTTCTTTAAGTCCGATTTCTCTAATAAAAACAGTATAGAGCACATCTTGAATAATGACATAACATAGAGTCACTCTCCACTAATAAGTGGAGTGAAGCATCTCACACTGCCCATAGTGTAACCCAACAGAGTTGCAAAAATTTTAGAATGAAGTCGTTGTGAGAGAACTTAAATATACAGTTTAATTAATATTGTATTATATCATATTGTTGTAAAAGCATATTACATTAGATAATTTAAGAATAAAATAGCTTGTTACTTGTTTGGAAGTGCAACATATATTCTGTTGAATAAGACGCTTATAATTTTAAAATATTTTATAGTGTAAGATTATTTGACATACCTTTTGCAGCATAGGTTGCAGCTGAGGTTGCGGTGTTGGCATTGGACTTGGAGCTGATGGGCTTGCTACAGGTGAATCACTGACTTTACGATGTTCCCAATAATTACGATTTAGATATTTTGCCAAATCAGGATTAGTTTCTTCTTGTTGTAGAACAGTTGGTTCTGGACTAGGTGAACGCTGCTGTAAACGATATGCAGTAGCATTGAATGTCTGTGTAAAATTAAAAACCAAAAGTATAATTAACACTATATGTATAGTTTATTTAATATTAGATTTACTTGATGCTGTTGTTGTTGCTTTTTCTGTTCCGCCTCGGATTGACTTAAAGCAATAGCTAAATTAAGTTCCTCTTCCTCCTTAAGTTCTTGTTCTGTTTTTCGTGGTGGTGTCTGAAATTAATTTGTTATATTGAATTTATATAATTATAAATATATATTTTATAATTTATAAGCAAAGCATTGATGTTCGGACATACTTATGTTTTATATTACGTTATATTCTAATGATTATATTGCTGAAGTATGACGAACTGTTTAAGAATATAATATCGAAGAACTAATTAGCTCTTCGCGCACCTTGTATATTTTTAAACATTTAAAGTGTTCGAGTCCGAGTATACTTAAGCTACTTAGTCAAAGACTTTAAATTAGTAATTTATAATAAAATATTATTATTTACCTGTACTTGCTGAGCCAACGAACTATTTACATACTCGGCCGGCAATTCACTATCCGTGGTGCGTGATAATTGTTTGCCTTGAGGACGTTGCAATGCAGTATAGCACACATCACAAACGCGCACCTTTTAAAAAAGATATACCCAATTAATTACCTAAATATATTTATCTCCGAAATCTACTCACATCTTTTTCAATACCGTATTTCGGCAGTGGACACTGTTTGGCAGTGCAATCGCCACAGAAAACTTGACCACAATTACGACAATGATGCTTACGTATGAGTACACTAAACTCTTTGCGGCACCTGTGACAAACCTTGCCGTCCGCCCAATTTGGCGCCGTGTCAGCAGTGAACATAGCGTCCGCTTCTTTTATTTCAGGAAATGAATGTCCTTTAGTTTTTAATATTGTCATAGTATCCTGAAAATATATACGGAATATGAAAAATATATATCTTTTCATATTTATTATATATCTTTTGCGTATATGAAGACAATTCGTGTGAAGACACTTAACTAACTTAATACTTTAGCTGAGCTACACCCATTTAACTGCCTTAAGCTTATGACAATCACAAATAATTTCGAGAAAACCAAAATATCCATTTATAATTTTCGACTGAAATTTTTCATATCTTCAAAACGAATTAAAAATCTTTAAATAAAAAATTATTTTAAATGTGAATATTTGATTTTACAAGCAAAGTTATTAAGTACTAAAGATTTTACTTCTTCTTCGAAGATGATTTCCTCCTCCGAACTCATGCTGACTTTCTGTTATTCAATTATTCTAAATTTAAAATAATTTAAAATGTAAATAAACTAAATTTTTACGTGCAGAAATCTCGAATACAATTATTATTTCCTTATCTTTTTTCCTACTAATTTAATTAGTGAATATCAGTGATTTTCCAATTTTTACTTTGCTCTTTTGTTTTACTAATTTGCTTTCATTATTTCATTTCACTTCAATTCGTGAAAGCACCCATCCCTCACCTTTATCGCTTGATATTTTTCAGACGAACGAAAGGCCGTTGCCCAAGTCTGCACCAATTCTAGCATTTTCTGTCGCACATTCTCGTGCGGTGTTTGCTCCAAAAATTGACTGAACATTTCACAATTTTCTTTAGTGAAAATTTCCTCATGGACGGGTGTGCCGCAATTCTTTACGACACTCTCCAGTACCAAAAGTGCATAACACGCCGAATGCGGATTTGGTGAATTCATTTTCTTTTTGATTGCAGTAAATGCAGTTTTTGGATTCACATCTTTCTGATTGATTTCATCACAAATTGACAAAATTGTTGGCCAATCCGGTTCCAAACGTAAATGACTGGTGGCGTTATCTGCAAAATATATAAATCATTAAACGAATATCTTTACAACATATTATTAATAAAATCATTTAATAATTTGCCAATTTGTCAACAAAAGTATGAGGTTGGTGACTTTTGAAAATATTTTCTCTTTTGTGATTGTTTTTATCAGCTGCTATTATTTATTGATGATTCATATTCTTTCGAATTGTTTGATTTGCAAGAAAAAGCAACGAAAAAACGAAATTTGTTACTTTCATTTATATCATTTTATTAACTAACCTAAACTCTTTTCAAAATTTGATTTAAACATATTTTATATTAAAGAGTATTTAATCAACTGAAAATTTTATTATTTATTTCTTTATTAAAAATCTTTGCTTCTTCCAAGTTTCTTCACGAATACTCTACTGAAACTATTTGGAAAAGGAACAAAAACTGCTGTTCTATTGGAAATGTCAGCGCACTGGAATTTTGTACCACAATTGATTAGATAAGCACAGTTTGTAGCTTAAACACTCTTAACTCATTTCGGACCACACAGTTAGCTTTGAATATTTTTTAATAATCAAAGCATATTTTATATTTTTTAGGTAAAGATAAAGTAAGAATAATCTTTCAAATAAATATTAAACTTTTCTCATATACTTAAACTTGTTTTATTTTACTATTAACTATCTAAAATTGCCTGGTACTCAATGGGTTAAATTGAACTAACTACAAATATTCATTTCGCAGGACATAAAATTGTTTTTCTTGCATACGTATCTCAATTCTTTACAGACACATTCAATTATTATTACTATTAAGAAAATACTAATAGCATTTCTATGTAGTTTTTATACATGTTATATACATATTCCTCAACGTTGTGCAGTCATTTTTTATGAGCAACAACCTACACAAAAAAACATTTTACAACAGGTGTAAATACAACTGTCCAAAAAGAGACATAAACAAAAGGTCTCTTGTTGGCATATTGGCATCACTGTTGCAATCTGTCAATTATTAGGCACTTTAGCAACAAAATTGTTACTTTTTTCCGTATGGTACTATGGTACTCGTTCTAATAAAATGGTACTTTTTTTTACTTATTAGCGCAAACTTAATTGTAAATACGATTATATTATCCAATTAAATTTATTTATAGATGCAACTGTGCACTATGGAACTAATAATAATAATTTTATGTTTTTATATAGTAAAAATATTGAAACTGCAAAAAGTAAAAGAAAATTTCGATTGAAATGAATTTTAAAACTTTAAACAATATTATGTTATGCAAAGAACTATTTCATAAAAAAGGCAATAAAGTAATCCCGTTTAAAGAAAATAAAAATTAAATGTTTTTTATTTTTTAAAAAAGAATGTCATAAAATATTTACTTATATAAGTTAAATCAGCAGACTTAGTTGGTTTGTGTCAAAACTAAATGTGTGTGTCAGACTTGATCGGATTACGTATAGAATAAAGTTGAGAAGAAAAATATAATATAGTTTTTATTAACTGTAATAAATCGAAATAAATACATTACACACCAAACTCCAAAAATAGTGATTTAATAATAAACAGCTCTTACGTTTTATCAGTAAACTAATAACCATATTTAATTAAATTATTTGTTTATGGATGTTAGAATCTCCTTGTATCATATGGACTTTGCTATTATTTTAAAATGTCATCAAATTACATATTACACCCAACTCTTTTTTTACACGGTTTCTTTTTACACGGATTTGAAGTTACACGGTTGAAAAAAAAAATTTTTTTGTAAAAAATTTTTAATTTAGTACGGTCTCAAAATCACTGTCTTGTTTGATATTTGGCATTTTTTTTACACGGTTTTTTTTTACACGGAATTCTGAGGAACGTATCTACCGTGTAAAAAAAGAGTTGGGTGTATTTAAGTTATTATTGTTCTTCGTGATGTACTGTATACATTGAGATTTGCGTGAAAGTAACTCGACATTTAGTTCAAATCGTAATACTAGAAAGAGGATCTGCTTCATGTAAATTCATGTAAATAGCACATCTGTATGATTTGTCAAATATTAATCACCACAACGTTGGTGTTTTTCTTTACAAACGGAACTTCAATAGCATAATGACAAACAAAATTAAGATTTTCTATGTGAATAAGTTTTTAGCAAATACAGTTAAACGTATAAAATTATAATCAACACTGTGGTTACTTGTATTGTCTAGATACTCCATCTATATTTTTCTACACATTGTATTCTGACAAATCTATTATATTTTATATAACTCCAATAAAATAATTAAGGTACTCGTATGTAATTAAAAATTAATAATATAGCTTTTGCTATTTAGTAACATAATTGATACGTGACAAATTCAGTGTACCAAAGTGAACTAAACCAATCTACAAATTTCAGAGGAACCTCTAATAATCAATTATATTAAAATTATAAACACCTTTTCTAGTTAGCAAACCGACTTCTTATATACCTAAAATTGTTAAAAAGAAGTGCTGTTGTGAAGCATATTAAACCATTTTCATATACCACATTGATTACACAATGGTAACAAAAATTATGTAGTATTTCCTTACCTAATTTAATGGTTTTCATCTAATTAAATTTTCTACGATTTGAAACAGAAAGTCAGTTTTAAGCGCCAAAGAAGTTAAAGTATATAAAATTACTTCTGGATTAAAGAAATGATGAACTTAGTCAGCAAAACAAAATCTCTACATTCAGGATTTACATAGAATTAAGTACATGCTTCGTCCTATTAGTGTATGTAATTTATTTATTTTTTCAGCTCGGTGATGAAAGAGGCCTCGCAATTTTGATAACGCCGACGACTAAATTTGGCTTAGCTCCGCCACTAACTCAAATGAATGTTGTAAATGTGATTTGGTACTCAAATACAAGTCGACTTCAAAATTGAACGTCGGCGGTTCTCAAAATTACGGAATTCGAAATAAACTCCTTTTCAAGTTGTTTCAAAAATTTTTGTTTTTTGTAATTAATTATTTAAGTGCTTCAAGAGAATATTTTATAAATTGAATATAAATATATTTTGGAAGCTAAATGATTATTAATCAGGTTTAAGTTGAAATCTTATGTTAATATACTGGAATAATGCGTGAAGAGAATTCGAATATATGTATGTTTTCACCCCACTGAGTTCCATACGTAAAGGTCTCAATGAAATAATTTTTAAGTTATTTTGACATTTTGGATGTTTCTGCAATTGTATCTTTTTGGATGAATTTAAATAAATATTCATAATGATTAGCAATGGTTATCACGGATTATGCCGTGACCGTATCAAGGAGTGTATTCCATTTACTTTTGTAGCTAAAATTATTTAAATCTCGATCTAGACCTCATTAGTTTTTATTATCTACCTTGATATCTGTCAATATTATTTTAATATGCATATTTTATTGAACAATCAGTAAGTACTAAATTTTATAGACCAATTAATATTATAATATTCATATTAACATTTTAAACTGACAATGTAGTCGGAAAACGAAACTCTGGGCGTCCCTTATAATTCACTATTACGAGCATCTGAAGTAGATTTTGTATTATGCAAAATCGACAATTATAATTCAATAAATATTCAATAATTTTGAAAATAAAATTTCAAATGAAATTGTATTTTTATGTCTGCTATTTTACATGATACATTTTAAAAAAATTAAAAAATTTACCTAACAAAGTTTATTACCCTTATTTGATTTATATCCGCAATTAACTCCTTATATGGTATTTTGCAATAATATTTTTATTTCGAAATAAATAATTTCATTTTATTTTTGACGTTTTAAAAACAAAACGTATTCTAAAGTTAACTCAACGTGAATAAATTATTTTTTGATTTCATTGTATGATGAAAATCATTTGATTTATTGCATTAATAAAGAATAAATAATATATTTATGTATATGGGTGCTCTCTTTATTTAATAATGTTTATCACTAACTTCTGAGTTTAGATGAAAAAGAAGAATCATTGTTGTTATAAGTGACAACCCGATAACATCATCAGAACTTGTCCATGAATGTAGGTTGAATGTTATGTCGGTAGACACAAGAGCTTAACCTTTTAATTGGTTCCTGGCTATTTCAGCTTATAAAGAAGCAAAATTGCGGACTAACTTTTAAGCACAGATTGTAATAAGGTACCTTCTGAACCGCAAACATTTCTTGACTTAACTAAATTTGTTGTGAGACTACTTATTGGTGGTTGGATTCCAGTTAATCGTACAACAAATGACAAAACCATGATGCCTGAAAAAACTCAAATTGGTTCAACCTACAATCAGTAAAAAGGCTACATGGTTCTTCAATCACTGAGACTGTTAATTGTTAATTGGTGCAATAAGTGGCCACACTAATAGCGTCAAATGCATCTTTCTTCTTATTTTCGCTCACAACGATTATGCTACTGTCATTCTCTCTCCAGACTTAGCATTAGTTATTATGCTACTGTCATTCTCTCTCAAGACTTAGAATTAGACGACATAAGTACTTCTAATATTAGCTCCTTACCACTTTTAAATGCCCTCCACTTCTATAAAAGTTTCAAAAATTTTGTAACTATCGGCAGATTGTTCAAGAAACCTTCACAGTGTGAGAATGTTGGGTTTCTCCCTATAAATTATTTTTATTAGGTAAGTTTAGTGCTTTAAAATTTTATACGTTGAGTTTTGATAGTTTTCACCTACTAAAAAAAAAACTCTGAATTGACCTACACAGACGACTTAAATTTCTAATGGTATTTGCTAAACTCAAATTTCTTTCATTATATTTTATTAATTAATTTTTGAATTTATTTCTGCACCTGATTTTTTATTAATGTTCTTTATATACTTTATATTCGATTACAGACATTTCGACTCTCCTTGAAAGTTATCATCAGGGTAGGAACTAATAAATAAACATTATTTGATATTAATAAAATCTGTATCTATTCGATATGTTTTTGGTTCCGTTATCCAAATTTAATTTTTAGTTTATTTAACAAAAAGGTGACTGTTTCCGGATGTAAATTAAATAAAAAAAACATTATATATTAATAGAATATAAAAAATACATAAGGGACAGAGCCCTGAAGTTATATGCGAAAATTGACAGGCTATCCTACTTACCACTATCTAATCTTAGAGCAATCAGTCTCCGCACGGGGAGGTACGCAGATCTTAGATCAATCACTGAATGATTAGGAAGTTTATGAGTGATATACAATTTAATCAATGAGATGGGTGGGACCCTGTAGTACCCCCAGCTATCAAAGAGTAAAAGTGCCCAGTTGAGCTGACACGAAAAAAAGAATCAACAACATAAAGTTAACCACTTATTTAAAAGCTCTGATCTACGTAAGCGTTTATCATACAGAAAAATTTTCTGTATATATAATAAGTGGCGCCTATATAATTTAGGCCACAAGTCCTAGCAACCTTACAGTCCATACGATTAGTTCTTTAAATATACGCGACCTCAATGATTAATGCATCTATATTCTTAAACAATTTACACATTGGAATTTTTGTTGTCGTGTCGGTCGCATTTATATTAATTTCAAGGAGGCTTTATCTGATAGTACTTGATATAGTTGTACAGTAAGACCCCGATTTGCGTCGTTAATTAGGACCGACAAAATGCGATGCAAGTCGAAACAATGCAAATCGGTTCACATCTATCCATTTAATTTCCAAAAATATTTTAGTTTTCGATCACTTGTTGATGGAGAATTACTTTTTAACTCATTGAATATCGACAGAGCCTTATTCTGAAGTCCCATTTGGCTTAATGGCATTCTTCTTTGATTCTTCTTATTTTTTTTTTTTGGCAACACAATTCGAATCAAAGCAAGTCGGGGTATTAGTGTATATCTTTTCGAACCCAATTTTCTTTTTCTACTAAGAATCCTTTAAATCTACAAAATAATTAAAACAACAAATGCATATAAACGTTTTTATGAAAATTTTTATTACGCATATATAAATATTTGTTTTTTCTTTTATAAAATTGTATAATTATATTTACTTAGATTTCCAACTCCTCTCAAATCCCCACAAATAATGATTATATACAACTTTTTTTTTTACAACTTTTTGTTTTTTTGCTTTGTGAAATTCTTTTAAATTTTTACTTAAAATTAATACTCTACTAAATATTTGACTACAATATTTTATATATATAATATTATTATCCTAAATAAAACTTAACCACTTAAATTTGTTATAAGTACAATTATTTTATTGTAAATTAAAAAAATTATTTTTTAATTATTTTATCACGGCTACATTAACGTACAATTTGGATTGTCTTTGATAAAAGACTGCAAGCAAGAATAGGTGAAGCAGTATACGTAATACTTTTGTAATCGAAATATTATTAATTTTTAATTATAATTAATTAGAACTAATTAATTATTTTCTGTTTAGTACTATTATCTACTTGGCATACAAATCATTAAGATATTGTTTCTAATATGAAACAATAATATAAAACTTTTTACTATAAATATTTGCATATAGGACATCTAACAATATTCACAGGATAATGTCATATGTATAAAACTAATATTCTATATCACTTTTTGAAAACTTTTCACAACTTACAAAGTGGAAAACTTTATAGCAAATTACTGCGTTAATTTCCGTTTCAATGTGTAATAGGCGAGACTTTTGAAAAATGTCACTTGTAAAATAATCATTAAAATATTAAAACCGAAATTTCCATTTTCCATACCAAAACTTTTGAGAATTGTGGCAGCATTTCTAAATGAGAACACATAATATAATTAATTATTATATAGAATATAGAATATAGAAATAATTAACAGCGATCTAAAACAGTGATCGCAACTTACTTGAAATGACAATATATGACATTCTCCGGACAAATCGTGTCTTCTCGGTTATTCGCATAGACTGAAAGTATCATACCCTCAACTCCATATCTCAGTGGTGAAAAATAAGAAACAAATTTCATTAACTGTGACATATGCGTTAACAGTATTAGAACTCCGGAATATATAAGCATAAAGCAAGTTAGCACTGCGCCTACGAAAGTGCCATTCTAAAATTAAAATAAAAAACACATATTTAATTCTAATGAATTTTATTAAAAAGGTGTAAATATATATATATCTGAAGTGGATTTAGTTTAATTGAGATTTTAAATTTTTTATATACAATGCTATATACAACCACAGGTGTCGCCAGAAAGGAATTATTCTATCTATCTAAAAGTTGTTATCCCTTTGTTACACTCTTGCTACTGACGTTGATACTCAGTAATGACGTCAGAGATTTTTATAACTATAATGCCAATCTAGATAGCCAATCTAGATAATTAAATGTAAAGCAATATACATATTAATTTTGTTAATTATTTTCGTTCGTTATGTCTGTAATTTTTATTTATTGTTACTTTTCTTTTCACTAAACTGCGTAATTATACGAAACCACAACTTATTTTCATTAGGAAATATTTTATAATATGACTATTTTACGACTCAATGGATGTATGCTCACTTACAATTGGATTTAATATGGTGCCCAACAAAATACCCAAACTATCTGCGCAGATTGTGACCACAATCGCCGTCAGCATGCATTTCACGTAACGCTCTACTTCGAACGGTTGATCAGTTAAGAGGTAAGTAATTGTTATATAAACCATGGAAAATATTATCTAAAATACAAAGAAAATATTAAAAGAAAATTATATTTTATTGCATTTCTTTTATTTTTCAAAATAAATAACTTTTAACGAAACTTACATGAACCGGTGTGGATGTTATAATTGTGGCTAAGTAATACGTTTTCAGTTTGTACCAATTATTGAACGTTTCTTTTTTAATAATATTCATTTCTTGCGGAACTAGGAAGCGGATTAAATTTAGAGATTAAAAGTTAATAGAACTCTTGTTTGTTGTTGTATATTTATACTTACAACGCAGCACACCCGGCATCATTGTTGTATACCAGAGATAAACGCAATGTATAAGGAAGGAGGTGAGATTAGATACTTGTTTTGTCGCATTCGAACCCGAATCTCCATAAAGAAAACCAACAAGGATGGCACAAAGGATATGCATTATCAATTTTAAATAAGTAACTGTCTGTAATAAGAATTTAAGTATGTATTAAATATAATATATTAAAAATGTTAATAAACAATATTCATATACAAAAATAGAATAAATAAAAGTGTAAGGAATAGATAGCTCCGTAGTTTTTACATATGTGAGAGAAACTAATATCTGAAACTTAAATTTTAATCTTTGGCGTTTTGTGCTACAACCCGAAACAGTATAATCTAAATACTTATTCATCTATAAACTTATAATTTAAACTAGCTCCTAAAGCCGCTTTGTATCCCATACCTCGTTAGGGGGTACATGTGCAACGATTAATTCTCCCATTTCGACGGCTGGCATATGAATTTTGGGAGTGTCGAGTTTATGTTCAGCAAACGAAAATACAGCTGTTACCTTAAAAAGAGGTCCTTTAGATTTAAAAGAAATAATGCTGATAATAATTACAACTTTTACTATAATAAACCCAAAAAGTTGACTTTGATGAATACAGCTTCAATTATTGTTTCATTATATTGTTTTTATATGAAATTATATATTTTCACATATAACGTTTATAAAAATAAATAAAGCAAATAAACTAATAAATCGCTTTTTATTAAACAGTTGAGCTCGTGAGCTCTCGGCTCGTGAGACCTCATGATTAGCTCTTCAATATGAGCAACTTGAAGGCTAACACTAGTGAGCAGCTCTTCAATATGAGCCAATTATGGGCTCACGCTCATGAGCCAATTTTGGGCTCACATAAGAATTGGCTCTTGCTTATGAGCCTGAGCTGCTTATGAGTGAGCAAATACGAACCCTGCTTTTGACACAATTTTTGAGGACGTGTCGACTCATGCGTAGCTGGCCTAGGTTCAACCATAACTTAAAAGATTTTCATTTTAAAAACGTAGAGAGTTTGAAGATTATCCGTATAAACATGATCTATTTATTTTGATGATCAATTCACGTCATGAAAGCTTGAAATTAGACATACGGAAAATTTTTCGCTCAAGTAAGTCAAAAAATAAATAATGTATATGACTTATGATACTATTTTGGTAGAACCACAGAGCATCTACATCCATATCATTCCATTTTAGGTCAAGAATATATGTAATTATGTAGCTGTAGCAAATAAAATCAATGATTTGTATCACAGGACTATTTTTATAAAAAATATGTCACTCACATTCCCAGACTAAAACCTACTACAAGTATAGTAGTTACTTGTAGATTTTAACGCTCCCTAATGAGACAATTTCGATTGTTTATATACACGCCTGGGGAAAAAAGAGCATCATTATTGAAGATGTTGGAAATTGTCACCGGTTTGATACTAACTCATTCAAAGTAAATGGTAAATGATCTATATTTTAAAGTGGCGAAACTTGTTTAATATGTCGCAGTTATAGTACTACACAGTGAGAACTACTAAAAGAATAACCCCTTACCTATCTATTAAATTTGGATTATTTTTGACAATTATATTATAAAAACTCTGAATGATATAATCAATCAATTTTTCATATTCTTATCAATAGTATTTACAAACAAGGTTTTATGCTAAGTTTAATTCTATTGGTTAATAAACTGAAAGATAGATTTTTCTACACTTAGATAGCCAGACAGATGAATGAGTATCACTAAATCAATTTGTCCTCGTCAAACTCAAATAGAACATTTCATTCTAATAAAATTTATTTTTCTAATTGATTGATTATTTAATAAATTTTTATTAATTTTGTCATATTTTCCATTTGTCTCTTAACATCATTTCATCGTTTGATAATTTTACTTACCCAATCTCTAAAGAACAACACATGACATCGTCCTATTAAAATCCATAAACGCATCCATTCTGGCGGTGGGTATACATGCTGTGTAGAGTCCATTGGTGGGGTTAGAGAGATTTTATGATTTCGTACATCATTTACATTGGCCATTTGTACAATTTGGACATCATGGAAGAGATCGTTTTGTTCACAATTTTGATCGTTACGCCATTGGGGATTTTGTGCACTATCCGCTAAAGCCTGTGTATGGTTCCCATAATCACCATTTACACATTCAAGCACTAAAAAATAGTTCACATATGCAATTTATTAATATCATTCAAAATTATTATAACTACAAATTATATTAAATGGAAATTTATGACACTAGCTACCAGGTTTTGTTATTAGATAATGTAAATTAATTATACAGGAAAAGGATTATTTGGCACATTATTTTAATTGTGATTATTACTTGTTTAAGTAACTGATGATCAAGTAGTGATAAAGCGATTAAGTTACTCGAAGCTTATTAATTCCATTATTCTATCTCAGTGTTTATAGGAGGCAAGCAGTTGAACTGACAGCACTAAAAACTAATATACTATATACTTCATTATATGAGTGTATAATTATAATTTTTAATAACATAAGTACTTTAATTTATATTATAGTATATATATATATATATATAAATACTTGTATTTATTTAAATACGCAAAATTTATCCACAATAGAATAGCAACCGTTTATGGCTGTTATTATGAATATTGAAGTGTTTCCTTATCAAAGTTCACTGTGCTACAATATAAAGTAAAAATTTCTTATTTAATAGTAAAAATATTCAAATCAAAATGTTATATTTACAATAAATTTTAAAAAACAAGTTTGTGAACCGATTAGGAGTACTTTACAAAGACTATAATCGTAGCTTTGGATCAGAGTAGTTCGGCGTAATTCTTGCCGGAAACACATATGCACTCTGAATAATACTTTACATATAAGTTTTTTCCGGTACAATTCAAAGATTAAATAGCATTTCTCATCACCTCACATTATATAGCATTTTAAGCTTTGTCAAAGATTCAAGATGGTTTCAAATCTCTGAGTTTGTCTCCTATATGGTCACACAATAGGCGAATAAACCTAACTGAATCCTTTTGGATTACCAGTAGAACCTAACCTAACCTAATTAAGAGATAGTACCAGCGCCAAAAACTAGCCTCTTTACTTTTTCATTCAGTAATCGTCGAACTTTGTGCCTAAAAAAGAAGATTTGCGGTAAGCATTGTTTTTTTTTATTCCATCAAAAGAAAAGGCAGTTGAAAGTCACCGTTTGCTTTTGAACATCAAAATGAGAACAACTAGAACAATTTAGCACAATTAGAAAAGGTTTCTAACAACATTAGTGTGGTTTGAAATAAAAGTCTCTCTAGCTGCATTTAAGTCTTGGTATCAGTAGCACTACGGTATCTGTGCTGACGGGACACTGCGTAATAGAAAGGCACGCTATGAGACTGGGTCTCCCCTTTAACGACTTTTGTCGAGGTTGTGGCTCTGAGGATAAGGAGGAGACTGTACTCCATCTCATGTGTCAGTGCTCTTCCCTAGCCAGAAGAAGATTAAAAATCCTTGGATCTCCTTTTCTAACTGACCTGACTGAGTTGTCATCCTGTAATGTTAGGGACCTAGCCAAGTTCATAGAACTGTCAGGTTGGTTTTCCTTTACCTAATAGGGGAGTCGTTACCTTTCTTCGGCGTTAAATGTATACTGATTAAAATCTATATACAAATAACGTAACTCCTGTGGTACCACAATGGGCCTTTATTTGTGCTTAAGTGGGCTTTTTGGGATACAAGGCCGCCACTCCAACCTATACCTAGTCTTGGTACACTGATATGAAGTTATCAGTGTTGGTTTAAGTTACTATAAGTGAAGAGCTGATAATAAGATTTATGGAATCAGAATTTGTGTTGTTATATATAATTCCAAAATTTTTTAAACCTAAACTTCACCCACAAAAGCTGCATATTTGAATGCTATGGTAGCGGACTTAAGTTGCTAGAACCTAAATATTCAACATATAAAAGACATTCATAAAATTAATTTGACTCTGGCGCTGGACCTTATTTTCAATAGGATGAAAAAATTTCTCAGACCAAATTTGACAATAGTAAGACAACAGAAACAAGGTTCTTCTATAAAAATGGGATAAGATATTATTTTAAAACAAGTGAAACAGCATTAAAAATAATACAACCAACTGCAGGCTTTAGTAAAAATTTAATAAACATATTCTTAATATCCGTAGAATCTAGTATTATTTTGACGTAAAAATCTTGTTCATGGTTAGATGGAATTATCTACAAATAGATAATTCTGCTAAGATATTTGCACTGAAATGTGAATACGACTAATACTTGTTATTAACTTTAAATTGCGTTTATATAAAATTGAATTTAATAGATAATAGCAGGCATGTTAATATTAATGGCGTCTAAAATTATATATAATTAACATCAGAAAATAAATTAACTACCTTATATTGAATCATTACTATTATCATAAAATATCTAGTCACTTTTGCAGAAGATAGAGATGTTTGAAATTAATAACAGTCTTTAAAATACACTATCACAAACCGTAGTAATAGTTCAGGAGGCTATTTACTAATAGATATTATTAAAATCACATGTAAGTAATTTGAGGAAAGTATATAAGAATGTTCCAAGTTAATGGATTTCCAACCTATTTTCTTTTTTTTTAAATAAATCAAAGATTGAATTAATAGTTTGAGAATTTAAGTTAAGATCTGATGTTGAAAAAACTTCTAAAGTAAATATTAATCTATAAATTTTCACTTACAAAAATCGGCGGGATTATGATATGGTGGGCAATCCAAGTTAACTGACTTCAAAAACTCAATTGTATTATATGGTGTACCCTGATAAGTACAGTGACCTTGACTCATCACATAGATCTGATTGAACATATGATATATATTTGTTGAAGGCTGATGTATAGTACAAACAATGGTACGACCTTCATTGGCTAAGGTTTGCAGCAATTGTATTGTATCGCTTGACGATGAACTATCTAATCCACTGAAAATAATATATAAAATATTAAAGAAAATTTTCAACAATATACACATATATAAATTTGTTAGAATGAACTTACGTTGTGGGTTCGTCCAAAAATAGTACAGCTGGATTATCAATTAACTCTAAAGCTATAGATAGACGTTTCTTCTGACCACCAGACAATTTACTACAACGCGTTAATTTTGTCTTCGAGAGTTTCAGAGTATCTAAGATGTGTTCTATCTATAAAAGCCAAAAATTATTTTCAATTTATTTTAATCATTTGCTGATATAATAATTTATTTATAAAAATATTGATAGTCGTATATATATATATATATAACTAATAATTAAAAGCAAAGTTACTCAAGTGTTGTTAACCTACCAACATTTTCTTTTCCTTAAGATTCATTGAATTGTTTGATATTTTAAGTGTGGCAGCGAGCATCATCGTTTCTTCTACTGTAAAAAATGAATAGAAGTGATCGTCTTGCATTATATAACAGCAGAGCTTTCGTGATTTCAGTGCTTCCCCGAATTTTACTGTGCCGGTCACACCATTTTTACTGCAAAAACATACATAAGATATATTAATTTTTTTTAGTTGTTATATATGATATATAATATAGCATTAGATATAATTAGAAATAAGTAATTTATACACAATTTATATTTATATGTATGTATAATTGCTATCTTATATGAAATCGGTTTATTAGATTTGGATTTGTTATATTATTTGAATTCAATTATCTGATATTCGTATAGTTTTCTAATAACGCGATATATTTATCGGTATTTATAAAAGGATTCAAGAGTTTAATTCTTAATCCGATTATTTATGATTTTGTACTTTTGACTATTAGTACAAATTTTTTGTCATCTCCATACTTAATGGGGACATCTTTCCTCAAAATTCTGAATGTTAATAATTTCCTTTAGCACCATAGCACCTGAGCCGTGGTATATAGTACTCCTGCTAAGTAAATTCCTTTAGATCAGCGAATCTTATTTGCAATTTTTAAAAAAAATTAGATATATTCAATATATAGGTATTGATATATAGATTATATAGATTATTTTTTTAAAAGACTGAAAGCTGATCATAACAGCATTTAAAGTTTAGATGAGTTTTGTCTTAGAGATTAGATAAGTATAACAAATACATTTACAATCAAATAGGTAAGTTTATCTATATATGTCAATAGTATAAATATTTTAAAATAAATTAGTTATCATCTAAACATGTTGCTTTAAAATGAAGAGTGGAAGAGAAGTGATTATCTACTGGAGAGAACTGCAGATACGGTAATCTCTAACACTTGCAACGTTATTCAAACTAAAACACACGCAATCGATAAATCAATTAAATTAAATGCTTTCCTAGAAAATTTCTGGGTTCCTGGACATAGGAATATTGAAGAGAATGATTTAGTATATAGTTCTGAAGCGGTTCTGAAATGTAAATAAATCAAGAATAAGTCATCGGTACAAGTTAATATATGTGAACTATATGAACATTACGAACTCTACAAAAAATTCACCATTGTGGTAATAAATGACTTGTGGATAAGAAATAAAAACTGTGAGGTTACCAGAGTCGTATAGCCGAGATAGACATTCAATTTAATAGCCATTTAGGCTTAAGCAAGATTGTAGTTCGCGTAGTTACTACAATGTTAACATGGCACTATATCATTTCACCGATACATCAATGGTGGTGTTTGTTGACAAATAACGATTAGTGTCACTAGTATTTCCTAGCTAATTTTAAGCGCATCACAGAAGAGAAAGGTAAATTGCAACGTCCCTTCTGCACTTGTCCAGCTCTACTGAAATTCAGATAAAATTTTTTATCCATTTTTGTCTTAAGTTATTTTACAGAATCGCTTAGATTTAAAATAGCCAGCGTTTTATTAGACTCTCGAAATGGTTCCATAATTAACTAGCAATAACGGTCACATTTTAAGTTGTGGTATCGCAAGGGATCATAGGGTCTCATAGGGATCATATGACCAATTAAATTGACTGTTATAGTAACCTAACCCAACGTGTCTAAAGAACAGAGATATATATAAAATAATAATTAGGTTTATTATTAATGACATTATTTCTTTAAAAATGTAATAAAGTAAAGTAAAGTACTTACTAAAAGAAGAAAAGTAAAAGTAAAACTAATATAAAGACAAAAAATTATATATTCACTTACGTGAATCCGGTTAATATATTTAATAGACTTGATTTTCCTGCACCGGAAGGTCCCATAATTGCAGTTAACTGACCAGATTTGAAGCATCCCGAAATAGTTTTAAGTACGGTTTTCTTCTCTGAAAAAAAAAAAAATTATTTTTTTTTTATAAAATTATTAACAAAATATATAAAAATATTAAGTGCAAATATATAAAAAAATTGTTTAAATAAATACACTGTATAACTATAGTGAATTCCACACATTTCTCAAATATGAGGCAATCTACTTTTAAAAATGTTTAAATATTTTGTATAAACAAATGTTATAAATTAGTAATTTAATTTGTTTATCAATTTGTTTATGTGCGAAATATTAGTCAGTAATTTAGTCGAATTTACATTGTAAATATTTAGATAATAAATTTAGATAATGAGTAATGCACGAGAGAATAAAGTGTGAATATTATCTATTTTTTTCAATACACTTTTGAACATTCTGAAGTGAAGTAATTACATTATTTGGCATAAATAAGTATGGTTGAGGTTAAATCATTAATAATAATAAAAAATATTAATAATAATATAAACAGTTGTAGTTTACTTTACAAATCCATGTATCAAATTTCTAATAAACAATCAATTTCGTTGAATGGGTTATATTTTATGTTGAATAATAAATCGATGCGCCTCTCTGTGAATGCCCAGCTTTCGCGTCCAGAAGACATAGGTTCTTAGGAAGACACTTCTTTGATAGTTTATCACACTGTTCATCGGTGAAGTCGAAACACCTATTAAATTATTTAAATTCGGCGGTATGAATTCAACCTCTACTCTTCTATACTAGGGTTCTTGCGAGCGATATGGTAGCAAAATGGTGAAAGATCGCTAATTGAGGTACATGGAAGTTATCTAATGACCTGCCACTACAACCAACCAACCAAGTGGATGCAACTTTTAATTTTAAGGATTTCGTTAGATACAGTTGAAATTCCGAAAATTATAAGTTAAGTTATAATTAAAAAATAAAACTTTCGTGTCATGAGGTAAATTTATTATTATATATATGGGTCATTCTTAAACAAATCGGACAAATTATGGCAAAAAAATGTCCTGATCACCTGCGATTTGGTTGATATTTTTTTTATAAGCACATTTTATAAAATAAGAAGACCCGTATCTCGGGAAACATTTTTTTTAGGAGATTTGAAGCAATGGGGTTTTGAGAATTAGCTTTGTAGACACATTTTTAAATGGCTATATCTCAAGCTATATAAATGATAGAAATTTGAACATTTTTGTAGGGTTTAAGGATAATTTATTGAACTTTTAAGAAATAGTTTAAACAAATAAGATTGTTTATATTTAAGTACTAATAATAGCCGTTAAATTTCACAAAAAAAAATTTTCTCCAAATATATAAGAGAAATTTTCATTTTTTATATTTTATTAAGATTCAATTTTAAATTTTATTGCGAAATAAAAATTTTTAAGATGGCATTATGTTTTGAAATTTTTTAATATTTTTTTTCTGCCGCTGAACACCTCAAACATGCGTACTATATTTCTATTAAATGAATTTTCAAATAATATACAATAAAAATTTTTATATAATATTTTTGATTTCGATTAGTCATAAACTTCTACATTAAACTCAAAAATTTCCAGACAATAATGTCCTTAGAAATACTTCTTAAAAATTAATTCATCCTTCACATCACACCAACTACATACACATGGTTTCTTAGTAAAAAAAAAAGTACTTCTGATTTACATTAAGCAATAAATTTTTCTTAAAAAACAAATATTTTTAATGTGGCATAGCTTTTAGAAGTAATAAAAAAAAATTTATTTATCATGCGTCCTAAACGTTACTCATACGCACCATAGTAACATTATACCATATTATTTTTATTTCTGAATTGATTTATCATTATATTCTATATAAAAATGAAACTTTTTCGGAAGTTATTGTATTTAAAATTTTTAATATTCCTCCTGATGACTCTAACAACAATAAAGAAGATGACCCGCATCAATTTTAAAGGATCTACAGGATTTCGATGATCAATGAATAAATAAATCGATTTGATCAAAAACACTTGCGTATAAAAAGTTCATTGCATTTAAAAGCAATCAAGATGTGGTGGAAGATTTGCCTTTGAGAATTCTTGACTTTTCTAATAAACTGAAAAACTGTTTTAACATGTGACCTCTACTTGTAAATAAGGGTGCAAAATATTATATATACTGGTGGAACTAATGCCTAGAATTCCCTCAATCTCATAGTATGTCACATGACGACATACAGTTGTATTATCAGTTTTTGCACATCATCAATGTTTTCCGGCATAACACAACTGATTTTGGACAACCTTAACAAATTTGAGTGAGGTCAGTGAGCGAATTGCAGCCACGCTTAAAATCATTGTAGCAACATTTCACAGTAGCAAAGGATGGAGCTTCATCGTCAAATGTAGAAGTAAGTTGATCGAGTTAATCGATGCACTCTTGTATTGGTAATCCACGTCGAAAGCCATAATAAATCATAGCACGAAAATTTTCACGCGTTAATTTCATTTTTTCGCAAATACTCAATTTACAAAACACTATAAATACGAGTAACACAAATAACGCTCTTTTGATAAAAAGTCTAAGGTATATTGTGTTTAGGTTAGGTTAGGTTTGGTTATACTTCCGATCCCAGAGAGATTCACTTAGGCCTATAGGCTCATTGTGCTACCGTATTATTAAAAACCCAAGAGTTTAAATCATCTAGAGCCTTTGGAGGTCCTAAAGTTCGCATAGATCCTCAAAAAAGAAAGCCTCTAAAATGTTAAGGTGGCGTGGAGCATGTACCGGACAGGTGGAAGGTACTTTCATCATTTTCACCACAACTACGGCAGATATGGTTAAAAGGAAGATTTAGTCTCCTACCACGGTTACCTAGAATACAATGGCCTGTAAGTACACCAACTGCAAGACTGATGTCTTTACGAGGCATCTCTATGAGTGAGTTCGATTTTCTTGTATTGGTGTGCGGCCAACTTGCATACGTAGAGTCTTTTATTAAAAAGTTCAGCACAGGAAGAACTCAATAATAATAATGTCAAACTTTCGTATTGAAACGTCAGATAACACCTGACAACAATCAGTGCTACAAAGAATCAAAATATGAATAGTGACCTTTGTATAATCTTCAGTTTTAAATAAATTAAGCATACAATACATTTATCTACTATTGCAATAACATATTTTAGTACTAATGATCTAATTTCAAGATGACCCTTTTTTGTGGTAGACTTCAATTGTAATTTAAGGTAATTATCAACCGTTCACATATAATTTGTTAAGTCCTATTTGGAAACATGATGGTGAACAACTGATCAATTGATGGAATTGTTTACATCTACACTGATTTATATTGAAAGATACTGCATTTAAATAGACAGTTTAAAAATTAGTTTATGTTGAGCCTTTTCCGAGTTAGTGCATCTGGGCACTTTTATTCTATGATAACTGGGGGGTTACTGCAGAGTCACACCCATCTCACTGACTAATTTGAGTATTCCTCATAAATCATTAGAAAAAGTCTTGAACTGAATTTGCATTTAGATCAAATCTAGAACTGAAATGAAATTAAAGGAATGTGATAATTATCGCCAAGTGAATTATATCAGTTATATGTGCACAAAGCTAGATAATCTATAAATGTTTATAATTTATTTGGAATTTTTGTTAAAAAATTATTTCGAATTATTTGTCGGTATTTTTTTCGGATTTATTAAGTGGATTAACTGTAAATATTATTTTAAAATATTTAAGCGAATGTTTAATGTGAATTTACAAATTAATTGATTTAATTGCTCAAAAACTGTTTTGTTTAACTGATGGAGTAATAAAGTACTTAATAGACGTAATTAGTAACACTTTATTTAAAGAGAATTATATTGCTATAAAAAAGTTATTAAATGGCAAAATTGACAACAATAATTTACTATTTGATTAATTAACGTTTTAGAATTAACGTTGCAGCTGCTTCAGATGCTACTTAAAATTCATCAAAATTCATCAAAATTTTTTTTTGAGAAACAATTATTAATATTTTTCGATCACGATTTGCCATTTTTTTTCTATAATTTCTTATAATATAATAATTTACACCGTCCTCTAGATCGATTTCATGTCAAAATAATAGTTTTACCGAGATCAGAACCAATTGCAATTCGATCTAACAATATGAACATTACTAATACTTAATCAAGTTTTCACAATTTTGTTAAATAACAAAATTTAAAGTCCATCCTTGTCAGGATAAAAAAAAAAACTGCTCTTTTAATTGAATCCATCCTGTGTTATTATCTTGCTTAAACCGCAAATGGACGAAAGCCTCAATTTAAAACTGCTTAGTGATAACTATTGTAAATCCTACCATAAATATATAACTATATATAAACCTATAATTAACAATATAATTGTGTTCTAGGCTCTAGGAAAAAATATCAGTAGTTTACTTTAAAACCTACTATAAATATATAATTATATAAATAACCATATGTTATATATTACTATAATTTACAGTATAATTGTCTTCTAGGCTCTATGTTTTGGTAGCAGAAAAAGTACAAACTAGAAAAAAAATAACAGAAGTTTACTTTAAAACTGGCTTTGACTCTCATTTGTTTTCTCCATTAAACGTATATAAATTGTGGATTGACCCTCATTGTTCTAAAACGTTCCATTTTTTAACGTGCTCTGAAATAATACTTCCCCAAGTTGTTTGCAGTTTTAAACAAATTCTTGGAAGTTCCATAATAAAAACTCCATACTTCTTCCCACTATATCAAACGTCTCATCTTGGTACATGATCACATCCTCATAGTTTGCTCTACTGCAGTTTTTTATTAACCAATACAAGTTTAATAAAATTTTTATTTCGATTCAGTGCATTTGTTGGCACGATTCCGATTCCCTAGTCACACCTATTTAACAATAGATTTTAATAAAATCAGCTATTCTGAATAACTTTTTTTTATATGAAATATGTATTTCTCAATAAAGCCTACCTTTAGGAATGTTCGACTTTAAAGTAGAAGAGTTTACATATTGTCATCAGTTGCTCGTGTAATCAATGAACAAC